GCCTCGCACTGAGGACCTATCCACGTCATCATTTACCCAGAATGCTTTGTGTGTAAATAAAATCTGTGTTAAAATGTTTTTAAAAATTTACTAAACTAAACAGCCTACAGTATTTTTACAGTCTTTATTTTATAATTAAAATAAATGTTTATCAAATAAAGTCTAATGTTACAACTAATCGTGGATCCCTTTAATGGGTTTCTCTTGAAGATGAAAAAGCAATGAGAAGTTGTAATAAGAACAGAGAGTTTTGTTGCTCAACCAAGCTTTGTAGTGAGCACTTCAAGACAGATGACTGACAGGACGACTCAGATTGCCATTAGACATGGTGCGAAAATGTCAACAAAAATGTACTGAGCAGATATTTATAGGAGCTTTATGTCTGTATGTGAACTGGCTACCTGTGGTGTTTAGAGTTGATTTCAAGATTGTATTAGTTTTTAAATCGATGAATGGACTAACACCATCTTCATGCATTTTTCAGCATGTGAAATCAGACATGTATCATGAGCGTGTGTGAAAACAGTAAGTTGCGTTTGTCTCATGCTAATTGCTCTGRTTAATATGCCATGTCTGTCTTTGTTAAAGAGCATAAAACAAAGTATTTCAGCATGAAAGCTCGTATTTTTAATGTGTGACAGTGTCCTGYATCATAACTACATCTTTGCTRTTTGTGAYAAACCAGACTGTGTAAAAATTGATTAAAAATTTGTGGCRTTTGGATTATTAGAGTTGGCAGATCAGCTTCCTCAGTAAAAATAAATGCACTGGGGGGCGCAAGAGGAACYCATCCAAGAYGGYGGCAAGTGCCAGTCTGCAGAGCGTCTACATATATGATGTCTGTGTTGGCATCATTTCTACAGTTCTGCTTCCTGCAGTGCGCCGTGCCTTGTTTCCAGTTTCTGGTGTATTGTGGAGCTGTTACAGCGCCACATACAGGCCTGGAATGCTTACTACAATAGTTTAGGTTATTTTTGGTGTTCCCATGTGAAAGAAAACATCTGTTGCCTCAGTACCATGATTATGAAGATGTTTTTTAAATGATAAATAAAGAGATTGTTTTGGAAAAACAAGGTGTGAGTGAAAACAGGAAGTGATTGTTGTTTGTTTACAGTCAGCAGGTTTGTTAAATAYACGGGTTATGGAAATGCTGCTGGGCTGCTGGCAGCTCGAGGCCTGCTGAACGGACGGAGGAACTCCGGTGACGGACAGTTATCTTCCCGCTACTCCAGTGACTCAGACTCAGACACTGAGGAGTACCGAGAGGCCAGAGCCAGGATCAACCTGGTGACGGGTCGGGTGGAGGCGGAGCAGCCTGATCCGATGGAGGGCATGACGGAGGAGGAGAAGGAGCAGGAGGCTCACCGTCTCATCAGCATGATTGACAGACTGTCAAGGTAAATGTCTTCATGTGGTGTTCCCTCTGATGCTAATTACCCACAACTCACCTCTAAACAAGTTAAGATATTGATGTCTCATAAACCACTGGTGTCCAAAGTCAGTCCTCGAGGGCCGGTGTCCTGCATGTTTCAGGAGCTGCCCTGGTTCAACACAGCTGAACCTCAGGAGTGCTTAATTAGTAAGCCTCTGCAGATCTTGAYAGCATACTGAGGAGGCCTACTAATGAAGTACACTTAGGTTCAGCGGTGTTGAACCAGGYCCAAGTTTCCAACATTCCTATTCTTTAACACCAGTCTGTAAACATCCAGGAYCTGAGGAGTTTTRGGGGTTTTGGRGGGAATGTTGTTCTTTTGTTGTTCTATTATCGTCTGACGGAGGATTCCAGATGTGTCATCTGCCCATGCCAAAGGCACTAATGCACCCTCATACCATCAGAGAGGCAGGCTTTTGAACTGTGCTCTGATAACAGACTAAATGTACAGACCTTTAGTACAGAGACGTCTTTGATCCATCAGACCACAGAACAGTTCTTACTCTCTRTCTCAGTTCAGTTTAAATSATCTGTGGTTCAGAGAAGACAGCAGCGGTTCTGGACAGTGTGCACAAATGACTTTTCTTTGTGTGATAGAGCTTTAAGCAGCATTAGTGGATGGTACAGTGAGCTGTGTTTACTGACAGTGATGTGCTGAAGTGTTCCTGAGTCCAGAATTTGTCAGATTTTAGGCACATTCGAAATACACTAACTCATGGAGCGCCAAAAACCTTCCTGGAGGCAATGATGATTTCTCACATTAATTACTGTATTTCATGTAGGTCACGAGCAAATGAATCAACAACAAAACCTCTAAGGTCTTTATATAGCCAAGCAGTAAAAGTGTTAGATGAAAAAAGCCTTTGAAATACCATCATTGTCATGTACTAGAAAAACATAAAATGTTAAACTTCAATAATTTAATTGTGTATTCCAATGTGTGGCTCATTTTTAAAATTGTAAATAACACTGCTCCTCCACCACTAAAACATTTTGTCCAACTCTGTTCTGAACTTACAACTAGGAACACCAGGTCAGTGAACAGTAAGGATTGTAGAAAACCTAAACGTAGCTCAGTGTTTGCACAGACAGCCTTTTCGTTTAAAGGCATCACAGAATGGAATAAGCTTCCAGTAAATCTTAAACTTTCTACTGGCCTGAAGGATTTTACTTATAACGTTAAGAAAGTGCTCTTGGAAAACCAGCAATGTCTGCACTGAAATATCTTAATTGCAATCCTTGTATTAGTGATTAATGATCAGATGTTTAGCATGTAGAACTGTTTTTGCTGATGTATTTTATGATTGTGTRTAGAGATTGTAATTAGATTTGATTGCTATTGTCTTCATGACTTTATGAAGTAATTGTGTCTACAAATTTCATGGATTATTGTTCTATGCCTTGATTTTAGATTGTATTTTGTTGTTCAGGGACTACAGATGGAAATTAGCGTAAGCTAAATCTAGTGCAAAGCATCTTTTAATGTTTTATTTGCACATTGTCCCTGTTTTAAATAAAGGAATTCTAAAAAAAAGAAAAAAGAACAGAACCAGACCTAGTTTTAATGCAGCAAAGATCATGTCYATGTAATATTGACGTTCAGATCAGAGATTAATACAGATTCTAATAATCTGYTAATTAGATTAAGAGCTGTAGATGATGGAGATTCGGTTTTCTAATCATTGCGTTCTGTTTTTAATAACATTTTACACACCATCCTAACATTTTCAGATCGAAGTTGTTTTTAACCAAACATTTTCTCTCCTGCTCAGAGATCATATCATTCAGCCTGTAGGGGTGACAGCAGAGGGCCGACTGGCCCCGCTGTGGAGCCTGATGAGGGGCCACACTGAAGAGGAGGAGGAGGATTTCAATTCAGAGTCAGAAGGATGGAGAGAYGAACAGAATAAATAAAACGGCATGTTATTTTTCCTGCTGAACTCAGTGTTTTATAGATTGAAAAATGCTGCTTTTAAAGCTGAAATGATAATTGTAATATAGAGCTCAAAGAGCCTTCATTTAATTAGTTTTACACAGTGGTTATATTCATTTCATTTCTTCTGTTTTCTGTTAGTGACCTGCACTAAGGGTTCTATATACAGTATATTTACACATTTTTTATAAACGCTTTGTGAGAAAGAGTTGAAAGAAACCTTTCAGTTTCCAGCGTACTGGAAGTGGCCCACAGACCAGCAGTTACTGTATTAGAAGGTTTGAAGACATTTTGTCAGCGATGAGCTGTGACTGTAAATCTGCAGTTATAAAACTATATTGTTGTGTATAGTATGTACAGTATGTTTATGCTGTTTGTGTTGTGTTTTATGTTTTCATAATTGCTGTTTTTTTGGCCTGGTCATCATTGTAAATGAGAAAGGGTTGTCAATTGACTTACCTGTTAAAATAAAGGTTTATATTTACAATTTTTGATGGCATTCAAGTCCAACTTGTAAATTTAGTCATCAATGCTAAAATGCTAACTGCTCTATTTATTAATAACTAAATTTAAATATTTTGTTTTTGTTTAGATTTTTTGTGATGCACATCACATCATTAAAAAATGTTGATAATTATTTATGTCATTTATCGTGTGATAAAAATGAAAAAAAAAAAAAAGAAAATTATCCTGAGAAGAAGAATAACTATGATTGGGATGTTTAACTTTCTGTTTTGTTTTTATTTACCAGCTCATTTCAGTGTGGATTATTGAATTTACAGGTTGTACCTGAACGCACCGTGAAGGCTTCGTGAGGTGCCATAAAAAACCTGAAGAAAGACAAAGTTCTGAAGCACAGATGGAGTGATTGCAGAGATAAAACAGACTTAATATATTCTCTATTTACCGGTTCACAATGTAAACAAATCACAAMACAAGCTTTTATGCAGCAACAGCAATAATTAAATTTCAGTTTAAAAACTTTCCTGGCAGTTCCTTTATTGGAATTAGWTTTACTTTAATAAACATAATCTTGGTCTCTGCTAAAGATCACCTTAAAACAGGCGATGCTAACAAATTAGCTACATACTTCATGTCCACTATGACTGTTYTGAACACAAACTAACACAACTGCAGGTCTTCCTGGAGGCCTAAAGGACCCTGATGGTTCCTCTCTGATGGTTAGTTTCTGAAGATGTAGAAATGTTTATTTGGCTGGTAAAAGCTGCAGACACCTACACCAACTGTTCACTTGACAGAACATCACTTCAGAACATCACAAAATGACCTGATTATTCATTTAAAGCTCCACATCCCAAAACTGAAAGGTTCTGGACTGGTCCGGTCAAAGCCCAGACCTGGGTCCATCTGAAACTCTTGTTTGATTGAAAGGCTGTTGGACACAAGCAACGCAGACCTGAAGGAGCTGCAGATGTTTGGGCAAGGATGGACAAAAAGTCCAGGTTAGACGGGCCTGGATCCTGGGGACAGACCTGATGGGTCAGGACCTGATGCTGGAACTGATCCAGCAGGTGGCTCTCTGTGAACTCTGAGGGTGAATAGTTTTGTACGCTCTCAGGTTTGTTTAACAATAAAGGGGGTTTACATCTTTAAAGGGGTGGTTATGTGTTMGGGTTTGTTTTATGAGTTCTGAATTAACACCGAACACCAAGGAAGTTTTAACAGATTTATTGTAAAACTGAATGTTAGCTGGAAACGGGAAACAAGCGGTCAGCAGGTCTCGGTTCTCTGGACACAGGAGAGTGGAATTAGTGTCAGCAGTGATACTAGGAATTTGACAGATTATAAATACTGCCRCTAACCTGGAGGTTCGGAGAGTGCAGCGGGAAATCCGATTGGTCTGACGTTGCGGAGTCCCGATTACGTCACTGGGGAATCCCGGAAGAGATTTCCGTGTTTCGTTAGCCGTGGTTGAACAAGCTAACTCCTTAGCTTGCAGCCTTGAGGGATCAAACTTAACTCGTTGGTCATTAAACAGTGCAGGGGTCGAATACCTGGGAGACGTGGAGCAGGGTTGTCCAGAGAGGCAAGCAGGGGTCGAGAACCAGGAAGTCCGAGAGTTCGTAGTGCCGAGAATGGAGGAGGCGAGAGGCAGGAGTCCGAGAAACAAAGCGAGGATCATTACCAGAGGAGCAGATGACTGAAGGTTTCCGACATGGGCTGAGGCGAGAGGCGATAATCCGTGGGACAAGGCGAGGGTCGAGGAGCCGAGATCAGAACAAGACAAGGGACAAGAATGCTGGTGAATCATAGGCGAGGCTGATGATAAACTGGCACTGGAGCTGTGGGAGAGTGAGGTTTAAATACACAGGACAACAGGTGAGTCGAATCAGATGATTAGCAGAGGAACTGTGAGGGGAGGGGGAAGCAGGGCTGTGACAGGAGCTGCTGAAAACATGACATGAGCTAAACTGTAAACAAAACGAGACTAGATCCAGAAACTATGACATTATGTTATAAATTAAAACAAGTCCCACCCAAAGCAACAAGACAAAATGGGTCAAATAACCATCTGTCAAGTCTTTAATTTGTCTAATGTGACACAACGATCACTGCATTCATTAGTTGCTGATTAAAATAAACCCAACAAAGCAACTTACATACTTTGAYAAATACATATTTACGTAATACACAGTCTTCATGAGTCTCCAGTCTCCTGTTGTCCTGGGTCTCCACTTTCAGTGCCTTCAGTGTTGATCGAGTCTCCAGAATCACCAGCAGAGCCTCCAGAGTCCCCTGCAGTTCCAGTCCTGGCTTCTGGGTCTTTGGGTTTTGAGACTCCTAACTGCTCCAAGCCTCCAGTTACCAAGCCAGTTGAGGATCTAGTTTGTTTATTCAGATCCACTTCCCAAGTCTCTATATTGTCTTTACCTCCTGCCTCCAAAATGTCTGAGGATGACACGGTTGAGGACCACTCCTAAACTCTCTCACTGGTTGGGGCTGTTTTCGAGACAACTACCCAAATTCTGTTGCCACTCTGAAAGTTCTCCAGACCCACTACCCTAATCCTGTCACTGGTTTGGACTCTGTATGGATGGACCTGAGTTCTGTTGCCAGTCTGGATTGTTCCTGGGTCGACAACCTGACTCTGGTTTCTGGTCTCTGGGCTGTCCACTTGACTTCTGTTTTCATGTCTAAGTGAGTTCAGACCATCTGCCTGAACTCTGTCCTTCTCTTGGACGTCCCACAGGTCCACCACCCAAACTTTATCTCCTGTTTGGATGGGACTACTTGATCTCTTGTCTCCTGCCAGGACTTGTCTTTCAGGATCTGATCAGTGAATGGACTAAGCCTACATTTATTTGACTTTTGAAGCCAACCCAGTTCAAGATGGCAGTAAAGCTAACTGTTAGCAAACTGAAAACAGATATGAGAGACAGAGAGCAATWTGCATTCCTTCAAGGATTGTTAGCTCTTTAATTYATAAACATGAAAACCTTTTGCATTTATTRCATTKTTCCATTTTTAGTCAATCTGTATGTTGTTTTCTTATCTTCCTGTTGTCCTTTCAGCTGTTCCTCTCTGCAGTGAGTTGCCACAGTGAGCAAACCTGCGCAAAGGTTTGTCAGCTSTTTTATGTGTCCTTCCTGATGCAACCTGGGCTCAGACCTTCAGCCTCAGGACCATGAGACCATGACTATGACCACTGAGTTACTGCAGCCACYAGTTTATTGTCTACCTAAGGATGTGATGATGCCATTAAAAGGAGCTCCTGTGGTGTATGGGTTAGTGAGGTGTCTCTCACCCAGCAGGATTGGTGTTAGGGGTGTGTTCTAAGACCCCTAGTAGTGGAATGTTGTTCCGTGCTGCCATTCTGATTTTGGCGTCGAAGGAATAAAGTTAACTCTGGACAACAGACTGGACTGGAGACTCAACAGTGAAGCAGTCTACAAGAAAGGACAGAGCAGACTGTACTTCTCAAGGAAGCTGAGATCCTTCAATGTCTGCAGCAAGATGCTGCAGATCTTCTACAAGTCTGTTGTTGAGAGCGTCATCTCTTCTGCCATCATCTGTTGGGGCAGCAGCATCAGAGCCAGGGACCTAAAAAGGCTAAACAACCTGATAGAGAAGGCTGGTTCTCTTCTGGGGACGACTGTGGAATCTCTGGAGATGATGGTGCAAAGAAGGATTTTATATAAAATCAAGAACATTGTGGACAACCCTGATCATCCTCTTCATCAGACTGTCATAGAAAGACAAAGTGTCTTCAGTCGGAGGCTTCTTCAACTTCGCTGTAATACAGACCGCTACAGAAGATCTTTCCTGCCCACAGCCATCAGCATCTACAATAAGTTTTTAGTTTAATGAGTTACAACAACACCTAATTTCCCTCTGGGATCAATAAAGTATTTTTGAATTTGAATTGAATTGAACTGGTTTGAAATCAGTTTATGTCTCCTCCTTCTCACACCAAACTCCCCCCTTTAGAGAAATGTGTTTGTTAGAGTTGCACATGTGTACTTGCACACTCAGTCCCTGGACCAACAGGTGTTCCCTCGGTGTGTGTGCAGATTTAATTGGGGATTGACTCAGATTGCTAAATCCACACTGACATCATCAGTTTAGAGAGCAGCAGCCTGGGCCAGAGGATTAATCTGTGCAGCTTCATTCGCTTCAGTTTGCAAACAGGGTTTTGTAAAAAGCCTCTCTCTGATTAATTAATTAAAGCTGCCATAAATACAGAGCAGCAGTTTGTCCAATGGAGTGTGACGAGGAAGACCAAATCCAGTTTGATGATGAAGACTTCCAGACCCAGAACAAAGAAGACCAACAGGAGCAGGCAGAGGAAGAGGAGGAAAATGGAGAGATGATGATCGATGGAGGTTTGGAGGACTGGGACCAGTTTAACTCAGCTGGACCAAGTCTGGTGGAGGCTGTGGCTGAGTGGAGCCCAGGTGGACCAGTGGCCCCACAGCAGGTTCTTCAGCTGGATGGTTACACAAAAAGTAAGTCCTGGAACAAGACCACATCCACATCATCTGAAACAAGCTGACAGGTGTGATAACTGAGAATAACATGAAACTCCAACATCCAGCAACTTTCTTATCTAAAACCTGGACAGAACGAAAATAATTCTGCTCTAACGTTCACTGTTTCTGTTCAGTTTCTGTTATTTTATTATCAAAACATTCAGCTCATCGAGGAGATGAGTGCTAGGACRTTTAGTTTGTCCAACTTTTATACTTTTCAAAAATATTCTGTTTACATTTTTTAGTTATAAAATGCAGTGAAATCTCCTAAATTATTTTAAAAGGATTGTTTTTTTTAAGTAAACATCCTCTAGTTTTCTCTTCTAACGCCACTTTCACCTTTTAGCTAGCCTCATGTTACTTATAGCTAGCCTTTTGCTGCTTTTTGGTAGCCCTTTTCTACTTTTAGCTACATTTTTACAACTATTGCATAGAATTTAGCTACATTATTTTTAGCTAATGGTGTGCTTCTTTCATCTTTTACAGTTCAGTTTTAGCTTCTTTAATACATCTCAGTGAAGCTGTTCAGAATTAAACTTCTCAGTGAGTTTTTGCAGAAAATAAGTTTGGGACAGTTTGTAGTAATTTAAGTTAAAAACGTGACACTGATGTTTAAAACTTCCAGTAATATTTGATCAGTGACCCAGAGGAATACTGAATATTTTATTCATTTTAGTCACTTTGATCATTTTTTTCCCCTCTGGCTTTGTTCTTGAACTTGTTCAATGCTTCTTGTGTTAGAGAGCCTGACAGAACAGACCATTTAATCTCTGCATAACGTGATAAAACCAATGAAATGTTACCTGTTGTTGAATGTGTTACAGATTACCTGTGTTTACCTGAGGACAACATCTACAATGTGAGCTTCTCTCGCTTCAAGATCAGAGATCTGGACAGTGGAGCTGTCATTTTAGATATTAAAAAACATCAACCAACTGGTAAGTTTTTGTTTTTTCTTCCAAATATTTGTAAAAATGTGTAATTTTTAATTTACACAAGATGTAGCATTAGGTTAGAGTGATTGTCCACATTTTAAAGATTAAATGAAAACAGGTGAGGTGTGTACTGAGTGAAAGTGAATGGTTTCAGAATAAGGTGAGATCAATCCATGTCCTTATCATCTGAAAATGTGTTTTTTACAATGTTGTAATGTTGAAATAACGAGATTCACTGTGTCCCATGATAAGAGGGAATAAATGTTTAGAAAACAGAAAGAAAGAAAAAAAAGCTTTTTGTTCATGTTAAAAAGAACGATTTTCTTTAAAACTGTTCTGTACTGTAAAAACAAGCAAAGTATATTATAGGAGAATGTTTTGTTTTTATTTTTACATAGTATAATCATTGATAAATGAGTGAGAAATGATTTTTAACACTAGGGGTGCAACGGTACAGAAAATTCACAATTCGGTTCGGTTTGATACTTCAGTCTCACGGTTCGATATTTTTTCGATACAAAAAAGAGAAATGCCCATGCCCCTTTTAACTTGTAATTTATTTAAATTAATTATGAACATTTGTTTAACCTCAAAAGTGCAGTTTTTAATTTAAATGTTGCTGAAAAAGCAAGTTTCTCAGTGGATCTATGCTCAAAAAAATGCTGCCTAGGTGGAGTAGTSGAACACAGATCCACTGATCCTTTAACACAGAGCATCTTCAGAAGACGAGTTGATAAAGTAAATTTTAAAAATCTGTATTGTACGATACAAGTGTGTATTGAACCTAAAGCTCTGTTCAATAAGGTTGGATACGGGTACATGTATTGTTGCACCCCTATTTAAACACATGAAGTGGATCTGTTTCATGTTTTTCTTTATTCTGTAACAATACATTGCTTAATGTTACTCTGATTTAAAATATAATAATCTGATGATAATGTGACTAAAGGAGTTTTAAAAGCTGTAAGAGGGATATAAATTGATTTGATGGAGCTCAGCTCTAAATGTGAAGAAAATGAGGAACTTCTACAGCTCTTCCAGACATGAAGTGACTATTTGAACCTGTCAGTGATGGAAGCAGCCATTGCAAGAGGGAGTCAAGCCTCTGAGAAACCTCTGACTCACACCGTCGTCGACATGCATCCTGAACCAATAAGAGCTTCTTAAAGAAGTTTGATACCAAAAAAGCAGCTGTTCTGCCCAACTGAGTGAATAAAAGGGTGGGCAAGCAAGAGGAAGAAGAATTTTGGATGATGTTCTCTGAAGATTTTTTAAGAGGGCACATGAGACAGAGAGCCCCCCGCTGGCCCCAAGCCAAGAAGGGGGCAAGCCTGAAGCGCTAATAGGACTATACAGATAATACAGTAATAATAAGATGTACAAAAAGTATGAGGTTCAGAGCATTATACTCAGTTACAGTAATGTAACTAAATGTAATTAGTTACATTGTACCTGACAGAGCGTTGGAAATCGGCAGCTCCAGTCAGACTAAACTGACTGCTAAACCTGATGATCTTTGTGTTTTTCAGTTGATAGCTGTGGTGCCCATCTCCAGTTGGGTTCGTTCTAAAAGTTTATCAGTTGTACACCCAATGATAACTTTCTTAAAGTTTTATCATTAATATTGATTTATGATATGTTTTAGTAACAGRCACCTCCAGCTAAGAGCAGTAACAACCCAACAGACAGATTCTGTGGGCGGCTCTCTATTCTCCAGTTTGTTCAAGTCTTCCTTGTTGGTTTGTGTTTGCAGAAATTCAGGACATCATCGACTGTGATCCCAACAGATTCATCCAGTATCACTTCTCTCCGGCATTTCTGGCCCTCAGAGAAATTGGAGCTACGTGAGTTCCTCACGTTTCACAGTTTGAAGCGATGATGCTGATGTTAGATTTATTGGCTTCTGCAGCAGAATACGTCCCAAACATCTGACCAAAGCTTCAGCACAATAAACACAAACTAAAAGAAAACGTGTGCTATCTCCCAAAGGTGTCAGTAATGTTTCCACCTGTGTCTGTGCAGTTTGTCTTGATTTGTTTACCTGATCCGTCTGTCGTCAGTGTTTCTCTGTTCTGATCCTGTTCCTCTGGTTTACCATGCCCACACTGAAAAAAATAACTTGTAAGATGTACTTGAAAAAAATCCTCTAACAAATTTGCGCTAACGTTTGTTAAGTAAATTTAAATGCTACAAATTCATGTAATATTTACTCATCATTATCTAGTAAAAGTTATTAAGAATATAGTTAAAGATTTGTGAATAAATCAGGTAAATTTTCCGTAATTTGCTCAACTAGATCTTATAACATATACTTGATCAAATTAAATAAAATTTACCTGATTTATTCACAAATCTTTAACTATATTCTTAATAACTTTTACTAGATAATGATGAGTAAATATTACATGAATTTGTAGCATTTAAATTTACTTAAAGGCACAGTGTGTAGG